TTAAACTCTGCTTCAAATACTATGCAATGCATATACCCATACTTGAGGTTAAAAATTGTGGATTACAGGCAGTCACTGACTGTAGATTAAGATTAGGAAGAAGGCAATCTCCTACAGAAAGGTGAATCTCAATCGATCTAAAGTTAAGGATGTGCTGTATATGCTAATATTTGCAATGGTATCATAATGCCAACATGAAATTTCTACAGCCCATTATATTCAAGTGTCAGAAGAAAGAAATTACTGAAGAATCTATAAACACAATTCATTTACATGAAAATTTTAGATACAAAGTATCACTTGTAAAGGCACTTTATTTTATTAAATTTTCTGGGTTGTATCTGAAACTGTTAACAACTAATTTTCATAGTCAGATTACCACTTACATCCTCACCAGGGACACAAAAGAATGTGAGCATAAAACTTGGCCACTGTGTTCACAGTGAGTCAGTCAGTGCCTTCCCCTTGTTCCTGGTCTGTGTCTCATCATGGCAACTGCAGGAGACTTTGCTAAAGCCTGAATCTTGATTTCCTCTTTCAAAGCAAAATTTGTTTACAAAGTATATTTCCTGGTAGAATTAAAATTGTATTACTTCTTATTAACATTTTAATATCTTGTCATTATTTTCAGGTACCACTGGTTATTTACATACCTACCTCTCCCTCTTAGGAAAGGTTACATGTTTTATTGTTCTTTTTCTTTTTTGAGATGGAGTCTTGCTCTGTTGCCCAGGCTGGAGTACAGCGGTGTGATCTTGGCTCACTGCAACCCCTGCCTCCTGGGTTCAAGTGATTCCCCTCCCTCAGCCTCCTGAGTAGCTGAGACTACAGGCATGCACCACCATGCCAGGCTAATTTTTTGTATTCTAGTAGAGACCAGTTTTCACTATGTGGTCAGGATGGTCTCGATCTCCTGACCTTGTGATCTGCCTGCCTCAGCTTCCCAAAGTGCTGGGATTACAGGCACGAGCCATTACTCGGCCATTTTTTAATTTTTTAAGACAGGGTCTGGCTCTGTTGCCAGGCCAGAGTGCTGTGGCGGTATCTAGGCTCACTGCAAGAGCACCCGGCTAATTTTTGTATTTTTAGTAGAGATGGAGTTTCGCTATGTTGCCCAAGCTGATCTCAAACTCCTGAGCTCAAAGGATCCACACGTCTAGGCCTACCTACCAAAGTGCTGGGATTATGGGCATAAACCACCAAGCCTGGCCCTGTTTTATTGTTCTTTAATCCCTTATATTAATTTTTTTTTTCTTTTGAGATGGAGTCTCACTCTGTCACCCAGGCTGGAGTACAGTGGCACGATCTTGGCTCACTGCAACTTCCACCTCATAGATGCAACTGATTCTCGTGCCTCAGCCTCCAAAGTAGCTGGGATTACAGGCACATACCACCACTTCCAGCTAATTTTTGTGTATTTGATAGACACAGGGTTTTGCCATGTTAGCCAGGATGGTCTCTAACTCCTGACCTCAAGTGATCCGCCCACCTCGGCCTCCCAAAGTGCTGGGATTACAGGCGTGAGCTACCATACCCAGCCATGAATGGTTTTTAAATCATTGCAGACATCAGTTGAGTACTGGAACCCTGCCTTATAGCATTTGATAAGGTTCTTAAAACAAAATAAACACTTGATACATTTTTTTTGTAATAAAGTAAATCTTAGCTTTTAACACTGTGGGCTTAATAACATATACCATGGGATCAATCAAATTACTAAAATGATATTCTAAGAGAGACATGTAGGTGTGTCATTAATATAATGATGGCTCATTTTTCAATGCCCAGATCCAAATGCTATCTTGTTTCTTTCCAGAATACCTAGTGACACCATGTTCTTTCACTTATTCTAAAGAGAAGTGGCTTATTCTCTTAAATCAGAGCCTCTATCTAAATCTCCCGGGCAATTTAAAAGCCAAACTTTTTACAATCCAGGAAGAGGTGGACTTAGCTGAGTACAGGCACATAGCAAGAAATGCCCCAAAGAAAGTTAGCCTTATTATCATTGCTGCTATTGCTAACATATTCTAATAATCACTTATACCTTGAGTAGAAACAATTGACCAGCTCATCAGAATTTCACACTAATTTGAAAGAGGTAAGTTATGTAGCAAATGAAGACCACTTAATTATCAATTTGTGGTTGAGTAAACACTGGCAAAGTAGATAGGCTATGAAGTTTGCATATCAGACAAGTAAAATGTACTCTTATAAAAAACAAGTGACATGAAAAAAATTCACAAAGTCTTTTAAAATACTTTCCTTCTTGTCTGAGATATAACCAAGGCTGGTTTTGAGTAGTTTTCTCAAATACTATCTGCAGTGATCTTTTCAGGCAAAGCCCTCCAGCCCTTTGGTTCCCTGGAGCCATGAAGTTCTACCGGTAATCTTTTTTTTTTTTTTTTTTTTTT